TCCTGGGTTCAGGCAATTCTCCTGCCTCAGCCTTCTGAGTAGTTGGGATTACAGGCACGCGCCACCATGCCCAGCTGATTTTTTGTATTTTTAGTAGAGACGGGGTTTCACTATGTTGACCAGGATGGTCTCGATCTCTTGACCTCGTGATCCACCCGCCTGGGCCTCCCAACAAATGGCCTTATTAGTCATGAGACATCTTGAGTTGAGAACTGTTGAGTCAGGCCAGCAATGGTGGCGTGTGACGCATCTGGGGCAGAGCCTCCCAGAGGAGATGCCCTTGAAGGGTGGGGAGTGTCCGCCCACCTGTAGATGCGGCACCGATGCAGAGTGCGGAGGGTGCCTTGGAAATCCCCAGCGGCACAACTAGAACTCCAGAGAGCTGGTGGCCCTTAGGCTGTGATGCTGAGGTGGAGATTGAATTAGAATCTTTGTGGATACTGTCAAGGAGTTGGGGATATTCACCCAGCATCCTTACAGGTTTTGAAGCAAGAAACCAGAATTAGATTGTTCATGGAGGTCACTCTGGCAGAATGATAAGTTTACATAGAGACCAGCACTCCACAGCCTTTCATTGGGTCGGCACATGTTTTTAAGTATCGGTCATGTGCTGGGTATAATACCAGGCCCTGGGAAAATAAATTTGAGTAGAATGGGATTCTGGCCCTTTGGAGCTTAAAGCCGAATGGGGATGGCAGAAGCATCGAGATAAGCATTTCCGAGTGCTGTGATAAGGGTTTTCAAAGGTTCAGATAAGCTCCTGGGACCTAAAGAAAGAGTAGCCAGCCCACCTGCGTAAGGGAGTGCTGCAGGGGTGAAGCGATGTCTGAGCCGTGTCCTGAAGGGTGGATGAGGAGGTGGCACAGGCCAGTGGCACAATCACTGGCTCTGAGGAAGCGTACTGGGCACAAGAGCCAGGTGCACTGCTGGACGTGGGAGAGTTGGCCGCTGACAGGATCCCTAAAGGGGAAAAGGAGAGGAAGGCGGATGCTGAATTATGGAGGGCCTTTGTTGAACCGAGAAGTCAGGGTTTTAACTGAAGATGGAGACTCATCTGAGGTGTTCAGGCACAGAGTGTCGGTTATGTCTGTAAGAAGTTGGTGTGCCTGTGTGTGCCTTTGTGGTGTGAGGGGTCAGTTGACTGACTGGGCAGCAAAACCATGGAGTTGGAATGGCAGCATCCTGCCAGAAAACCTCTCATGGTTTAGAGGGAAGGGATCCAACTGGTGTGGAAGGATGAACCAGACAAGGTTTGAGGCAGGGAGCATCTGTCTTGGTCACATTGGTTTGAAGGAGGTGAGGAGGCACTGGGGTAGAGGTGCTGATGTGCGTTTGGGGCTGTAGACACAGATCCGGTGATCACAGACACAGATGAAACTGGCCAGGAAAAATGAGCAGAGTGGCCAGATGCAGTGGCTCATGCTTCTCATCTCAGCACTGCATTTTGGGAGGCCAAGGTGGGGGAATCACTTGAGCCCAGGAGTTCGAGACCCGCCTAGACAATAATGAGCCAGGCGTGGTGGTGCATGCTTGTGGTTCCAGCTACTCTGGAGGCTGAGGTTGGAGGATTGCTTGAGCCCGGGAGGTCGTCGCTGCAGTGAGCCGAGATTGTGCCACTGCACTCCAGCCTGGGCAACAGGGAAAGACCCTCATCTCTAAAAAGAAAAAAGTAAGCAGAGCCATCAGTGGAGGTGGCCAAGGGCTGGTGTCAGGGAGGTGAGAAGAGAACCTGGAGGGTCATCTCGTGGGAATCGAGGGGCAAGTTTAACATGGCAACCGGCGTAGTGGCTGGCAAGTAGAGTCTGAAGGGATGATGAGACCAGAGAGTGGTGGTTACCATGACGAAGGCTTTCTGCTGCATGCGTACATTAACCCAGTAAACATGGGTGAGTGTTTATGTCCAGCTCCACACTGTGTGTTGGGAACCAGGGACAGGAATGAGTGGCATGGGTCTCGCCCTCAAAGAGCTTCTTTTTGCTGGAAGAGAGTTGTGACCCAGCCCAGTCTCATATGGCGAAGTGTTCATGTGATGGCAGATGCTCAGATACCCACGTGGCAGGGCGTATTCAAGGTCTGCATATTCAGATTTCTTTAAGCCTCTGGGATATTTCGGTACTTTACGTAACTTTATAAGATTTAAGTAATGTTAGATGCTGATTATATTTTAATCGTATGCTGATGTTAGAGTATAGATGAAACCCGTCAGATGCACAGGCAGAAAAAGGGCTTTTGTGGAATTGAGTCCTTCACTCGCGTCTTTGTTCACCACGTCCATTTTCTTGTCTCAGGTGTTTGATAAATTCTGCACTTAGTTGTCCCTTTCAAAATAGATACCTGTTCTTGGTGCTGTCCCTTCCCCAAAATAAAAGCTGTTCGTACCCACACACTTGCACACTCACTGAGCCACAGGCAACTGTTGTGGCTCATCCCATATCACATGGTGTGGGACCACGTGCCACCCAGCCAGGCTGCATGGGCACCGGGAGCTCTTTGAAAATGTCAAGCCAGCTGTCTGCAGAATCTAACCTGTAGATAACAATAGATGAAACTCACATTTTCCTTCCCCTGGTTCACTTTGACAGCATTGCAGCTCTGGTCAGCTACAGAATGCCAGGCAGTGGTGGACACCACAAGAGCAGCGTGATCAGTGGAAGGGAAGGGCATGGGAGTGAGCAGCGGAGCCTTGGTTGTTGGGGAAGTCGCGAAGCTCCAGTTTCCTCTGCGAGCATGCCTGTATGATCCACACTGACAACAGCAGGCTTTGTTCCTTAGAAAGACCTCATGCCTGTTCTCCCTTGACCAGATACCGTGTTCACAGCACTTGCTGGCAGTAGGCCAAGCTCTGCACATTCATGAATTGCTTTCTGTCTCACAATACCCTGAGCTGTAGGTACCTTTGTTGACCCTATTTTCTAGATGAAGAAATGAAAGCCCAGGAGAACCCTGTTAGTGCTCAGCCAGATCAGAGGGGACAAAACAGCACCCCTGCCTTCATGGGTTGTGTAGACGAACGAGGGTCGGCGTAGGCCTGTCCTCTTTTGGCCTGTCTGTGGACAGAGGCAGCAGATGAGTCATTCTTCCCTGGAACTGGCAGAAGCAGGATAACCAGGAGTAGAAAATGTTTGTATCCCTCTTGTGCCCCAACAGAAGCACTGTCTTTTTTGCTTTCTTTTTAATTATAGATACAATGGGTAGGTTTTTTTTAATGGTGTAAGCATTTCTGCTATTGGATTTTGTTTGCTGTTTAACTCATCTCAGTAGGCTGTATAAATCTTTTAGCTCAGATTGGCCCTTCTCTGAAACCCATTTCAAGAATACGCTGTTGACAGACTCTCACTGTGTCTATATGTCTCACATCCTGGAATTGCACATTATGGCTATTTGTTATATCCTAGGATTTGGAGTTGATTTTGATGTTTAGAAGACCGGCGCTTAGTAAATGCCACACTGTGATTTTAGCTTACCATTTTGTATTTTTTTCTGTGGGAAATAGCAAAAAGTTACTGATTGAGGATCTATGTTGATTTTACAGAGCTATTTTAGATAAAGTATTTCTCATTTAGTGAACATCTTACGTTGGTGAACATCTTACGTTGGACCTTTCCATCGTAACAAGATACTGCCCCAGGTGGAACTCTGATCTTCCCAACACCTGAGCTGCCCAATGGTGTCAGATTGGCGTCAGTTTAACCCCATTAAGTTTAAAGGGTCTGTGCAGCCTCAACCTGAAACAAAGCTCCACCTTTGGCTGGTGTGGCCTACCTGCCAGCAGAGGCTTACTGGAGGGTCCAAACCGCAGCTCTTGTTCAGCTTCTGGAGTCAGAGCTGCAGGTTGGCTGTTGGGATTCCTTGAAGCCTGTCCAATGTACTTATGATGGATTTTTTTTGTTTTGTTTTGTTTTTCCAGACTGTTTCTGTAGCTTCCTAATGTAATAAGCCATTATAATTTTGCACAACTTAAAAAGAGTTCTTCCAGAGGAACCTGTTAACCATTCAACCATTCGGTCTTTGCTTTAACTGTCTGCTTTTAATTTTCTGGCAGTGGCAGTGCTTCCTGAGAATTCAGCAAAGCCTCAAGAGAAAATAGAGTCAGCTGTCTTAGCCAGGCTCCTGTAGGTGAGGTCGCAGCACTTCCTGGTGTGACGAGGATGCAGACCCCCTGGGAGCCCCTCGGGCTTCCTCAGCACCCTTTATTCCTCCTCAGGTTCTGTCTGGCACCCAGCCCTCCCTGCTACTCTTTCCTTGTCAGGCCACTCTTTGCCACCCTGAGACTCCAGCCCCTGTCTGATTTGTGCCTCCTACTTGACTGATGCGTTTTCCTCCTTTCTGTGTGCTGAGGATGTTGTCACCACCTTATGTCGGCTCTGAGTGTGTGGTGTCTTGCGCACAGCAGAAACAGACCTAGAGAAGTCCCTTGGCTTGGCCAGTATTGTGTTGCTGACAGGCGGTGGATCAAGAAGAGTTAAACTAAGAAGTCCGTGTTATGTCCACTGTCAGCAGCCATTTTGCTCATCTGTACGAAGGGAACAATGCCTGTACCACAAGGTTGGGGAGACTCAGTGAGAGCGGATGTGAAGAGTGTTAAGTAAACCATCAGACAGTTTATAGCCATTTATAATTCTCAGCTCTGCATGAACCTGAGGGATGCCAGGCCACTTGCTCTAGGAGCCCAGATTTTGGTTTCTTTGTCCTAAACTACTTTTTGGGGCTTTTCCTAAAAATACACATTCTAAGAGTCAAGGTAAGAGTGTTCCTAATTTTGGTACCTGGATGAGAGTTCATGTCAGTTTACCTTGAGGCTGGAAGTTGAACCTGAGCCATTTTCCTGTCCGGCTGCACTTTGCCCTAACAGGCTGGGCACAGTGGCTCACACCTGTAATCCTAGCACTTTGGAAGGCTAAGACAGAGGATTGCTTAAGACTGTGCGTTTAAGACCGGCCTAGGAATATGATGAGATGCTGTCTATTTAAAACACAACCTTTTTTTTATTTTTAAAAAATGGTCCTAGTGGCCGACTCATACCAGGCCAGTCACCATGTCCAGGAGCCCCTCCCCCCTTGGAATTATGTTCAGTTTTTGCACTTTGTGAAGCGGGGCCTTTTGTCTGGCCATCCAGCCCCAAGGCACTTAGTGGCCTGGGTGTGTTTCTGCTGGCAGGGACTTGAAAGCGTCTGGTAGTGAAGGAAGCAGAATATGAAGGGAGGCTGGAGAGGGAGCAGGAGGGGCAGGTGCGGCCACGGGAAGGGAGGCTGGAGAGGGAGCAGGAGGGGCAGGTGCGGCCACGGGGAAGGGAGGCTAGAGAGGGAGCAGGTGGGGCAGGTGAGGCCACGGGGAAGGGAGGCTGGAGAGAGAGCAGGAGGGGCAGGTGAGGCCACGGGGAAGGGAGGCTAGAGAGGGAGCAGCGAGGGGCAGGTGTGGCCACGGGAAGGGAGGCTGGAGAGGGAGAGGGAGGGGCAGGCGTGGCCATGGGAAGGGAAGGCAGCTCCGGCAGGCTGAGTGCATGTCGGTGATGAGATGCGGAGATCCATAATTGAACTTCTCGTCTGTCTTAGTCCACTGGGGCTGCTGTAACAAAACACCATAGGCTGTGGCTCATCAATAGCAGGAATCTCTTGCTCACAGCTCTGGAGGCTGGAGGTCCAGGGTTGAGGCACTGGTAGGATCCATGTCTGGTGGGGCCCCACTTCCTAGTTCACAGCCAGCACCTTCTCACTGCATCCTGATGTGCTGGAAGAGGTGGGAAGGTCTCTGGGGTCTCTTTCATAACCCCATTCTTGAGGCTTGTCCGTTTTCATGACCTAATCACCTCCCAGAGGCCCTACTTCCTAACACCATTACCTTGGGAGTGAGAGTTTCAGCCCGTGAATTTTGAGGGGGGACACGAACATTCAAGACTAATAGCACAGCCTTTCAGAATTTCGATTACTAAATGATGTGTAGTATTCAGTGGAGAGGGTAGCTGAAATCAAGGGGTTAAAATTGTAATAAATTGGCCAGGGTTTTGCAAGTTTTCCTTAGCAGGTGTCTACAGACTCACTAGATAGTGTTGTATTTTTAAAGAAGATTAACACGTGTTGGCAGGACCACTGCAGACAAATGGTAAGCTTGTTAACTTTTTTTTCCTTAATCAAAACATGGCTTCATCAATCTTCCCTCCCGCATGATTGAGAGCTGAGACATAGAAGTTCTGTCTAGGACTGTCTGTTAGTGCTGTAGTTGAACAGCACAATGAGAAAAGCAAGGAAGGTGAACTCTTCAGCTCCTGTGGGAGGGCACTGCTTACTCTGCTGGCCTTCAGGTCCACAATCAGAGCCTGCAGTGGTAACAGGATTCTTAGATGCCTGAGTGGGTCTGTAAATGTCTCTTAAAGCACAGCATACTCCTGAAAATCAAGCCTGAATCCCAGGTCTTTACTGCAGCTGTACAGCCAACGTCTTAGGCTTTGTAGATGTATTGGCTCTGACTTCATGTATAAATTTTCAGTGTGACCTGGCTATTAATTACTTACGTGAGAGAAAAGGTAGTATTAATAGCTTTCCCAAGTAGGTTGAAATCTTTTGTTTTCTAAATGAGGTAAGTAGGAGATGATGGGTGTATTTCACTTCTGGGCCAGACACCTGGCAGCTAGCTGCTAGAGCTCGCTGAGTGTCTGTTGGGAAGGTTTTGGTAAGATGTTTCAGCAAGTCTCCCCAGCCAGGTAGTGGGCTTGATGGTAGGAGCACAGGACAGGTAGTAGCGTATCCTGCGTCCCCTCACTCTGCTCGCAGCCCTGAGACAGAGATGTGTCCAAGAGCTTCATCATGTACCAGGAACTCGTTGTTTTAAAGTTTAGTGCGTCTCCCTAATCTAGTAAGATGTACCACATCAGTAAAAAAAAATGACCAAATTTAAAAGATGTCCGTTAGGCCTTGGCTGAACATAAGATATCTTAAAAAAAAAAAAAAAAAAGGCCTGGGCGCAGTGGCTCATCCCTGTAAATCCCAGCACTTTGGGAAGCTAAGGCGGGTGGATCACAAGGGTAGGGATTCAGGGCCAGCCTGGCCAATATGGTGAAACCCCATCTCTACTAAAAATACAAAAATTAGCTGGACATAATGGTGAGCACCTGTAGTCCCAGCTGCTCGGGAGGCTGAGGCAGAAGAATCGCTTGTACCTGGGAGGCAGAGGTTGCAGTGAGCCGAGATCGTGCCACTGCACTCCAGCCTGGGCGACAGAGTCAGACTTCATCTCAAAACAAACAAACAAAAAGATATCCTTTTAGGCTAAGTGTGTTAAAATCTCTACAATCAGATTTACGATATCAAAGAGATGAAAATCACATACCAAGGGGACAAAATTAACTTGAGAAAACAAATCAACCCTGAGGGTGGTGTACAGCATCTTCCCCTCAGGAAGCAGTTGTTAGATTTGAGACAGCTAGCATGGAGTACAAAAGGCCCGATCTTGAAGATTCTGCTAGTAGAATTCCTAAGTAAATGGTTCTCCTTTCTGCTGGTCAGATCATGATCAGAAGCATCTTCCTGTTCTTGGACCGCACCTACGTGCTTCAGAACTCCACACTGCCTTCCATCTGGTGAGTGTCCTTGTCTAGAGCTGCGTCTCCCCTGCGGCTGACACCTTCCGTCCCGTTCATGCCTTCGGTGGGCTAAGGTGGTGAAGCATGTATGATTACTTGTGCCTTCTTTTCTTCAGCCAAAATTGTTAAAGTGAATATAGGAGTCCAGGTGGGTCTTAGCCTTGAAATACCAGGTGTCTAGCCAGCAGCGAGGAGTGGAGTGGGAAGCTGGGACAGGTGGCTGACTTTGGTCATGAGGGTGGAGAGGGAGGGCCTTGGTTTCTCTCTGACAGCTGGAGTTTGAGCCAGGCGCAGCTCTTTCCAGCATTGCAGTTGAAACTCTGAGGAAGACCGCCTGCTGTCCATGGGGTCCCGGCCCTGAGGCTCTGCGGCCCCCTCAGAATGGCTTGCTCAGCCTCCCGGCCTCCTGAGCACATAAATAGCTCTCATCGTCCATCATCTTTTGGGAACTGTCTGCACTAGGGGTTCTGGGGCCCCTCCTCAGCAGCATTCACAGCCACTGACCTCTACGTGTCCTCTGCTGATGCCTGTGTGTCCTCTGTGACCACCCCTGAGTCCTGCTGCCTCCTGCAAGCCGACTTTGGACAAAAGCTGTGTCCAGTCTCACCTTCTGATTTGTCTTGTTCTCTGTTAATGTAGAGTTTCATTCTTCTCACATTGGAACATAAAAGTGATGTTGTGGCTTCTCATGACCTAAAATGTTGCTTTTTCTACCCCTACCCACTGAGCACGCTGACCCGAGGTAGTGTGATTCTTGCCTTCACCATGCAGCGATTGCTCATCTGAGATGTCAGTGACCTGCAAGTTACCAAATCCAGCAAGCGTCTTTTGTCCTTGTTTTACACAGTATCTGTGCAATTTTGGATACCCTGTTCTTGTTGATCCCCTTAATGCTATTGCCCTTCTGACTTCCCTGTGGAATTCCCACACCTCTCTTACCAGACATCCACGTGGTCTACGAGAAGGCAAGTGCTGCACAGAAAGGACAGCCTGTGTTCCAGGAAACACTGGGGATGATGAAAGTGATCAAAGCAGATTATTTAGCATTTACTGTGTGCAAGGGAATGGTTCCTACTAATGTATTTGATCCCTAGAACAGCTGTGTGGCATGGCCATTATCATCCCTATTTTATACAAACTAAGACCCAGAGGTTAAAGTAACTTGCCCTGCCTGGGTGGTCCAGCCCATAGTAAACGCTTTTCAAAAATTATTATTATTGATTTTAGAGACAAGTCTCGCTCTGTTAACCCAGGCTGGAGGGCGGTGGTGCAGTCAACTCACTGCAGCCTCAAACTCCTAGGCTCAAGCGATCCGCCTGCCTTGGCCTCCCCTGTAGCTAGGACTATAGGCATGGACCATCACATTCAGCTAACTTTTAAAAGATTTTTTTGTAGAGCCATGATCTCGCTATGTTGCCGAGACTGGTCTTAAACCCCTGGCCTCAAGCAATCCTCCCACCTCAGCCTCCCAAAGTGCTGGGATTACAGGGGTGAACCACCATGCCCAACACTAAACTTTTAATTAGTATAGTTTATACCATAACTGTCATACAAACTATAAACATTGTTTATAGCATAGAATAAATGATAGCACCTCTAGTCTACCACAAGAGGCTAGCAACCTGAACATGAGCATCAGTATAACAAGAATCCTGGTTGAGGTGTGCGTGGGCAGTACGTGGTGTGGACACACTTCGTCCATCTCTGGGATGGGGAGGAGGGCTGAGGGTGAACCTCGGCCTGTGCTTTGAAGAATGAGCAAGGGTGGTCAGGCAGCTAAGAAAGAAGGAGAAGGAAGGAAGCAGGAAGTTCAAAGCCGGGTATCTCCTGCCATGGACGGCTAGGATGGCAGCATGACCAGAAGCAGCCTGTGTGGGAGTCGATGGGGATGAAGCTGATGAGGGCCCTGAAGGGTTTTCAGCTGAGGCCGCTGTTTTGAAGAGAAGATTCCAATAGCAGGGTAGAGGGTTACACAAGTGGAGACCTAAGTCTCCCTGAGTACTGGCTACCTGCCTGGCACTGCCCTCAAGGGCTTCACAGGCAGGAACTAATACATCTGATCCCTATTTTACAGTTAAGGAAGGAAAGACACAGAAACGTTAAGCTCCTTGCCCAGGGTCACACAGCTAGCAAGTAGTAGGGCCAAGATTCAAACACAGGCAGCTGCCTGGAGCCTGCAAGTCTGGCCACTGCACCTTCCTGCTCCAGCTGTGGTGAAGTGCACAGAAGACCTGGCGTCATGCAGCATGCCAGGGACAGGAGAGGCCTGTGGCGTTGCGGTGGGCAGTCAAGGGAGGTACACATCTCCACCACTGAGGTGGCTCCTGGGGCCCTCTGCACACCTGTGTGGCACCCACCACCATAATATTAATAATTTTATGGCCAGGCGCGGTGGCTCACACCTGTAATCCCAGCACTTTGGGAGACCAAGGCGGGCGATCACGAGGTCAGGAGTTTCAGTCCAGCCTGATCAACATAGTGAAACCCCATCTCTACTAAAAATAGAAAAATTAGCTGGGCATGGCGGTGTGCACCTGTAGTTCCAGCAACTCAGGAGGCTGAGGCAGGAAAATCGTTTGAACCAGGGAGGCAGAGGCTCCGGTGAGCCAAGATCATGCCACTGCACTCCAGCCTGGACAACAGAGCAAGACTCTGTCTCAATAATACAATAATTTTACTACTGCCACCACTACCCACCCACCACTATTACTACTGCCACCATCACCACTATTACTACTGCCACCACTAACCGCCCACCACTATTACTACTGCCACCACTCCCCACCCACTATTACTGCTGCCGCCACCATTACTACTGCCACCACTACCTGCCCATCACTATTACTACTACCACCACTAACCGCCCACCACTATTACTACNCCGCCCACCACTATTACTACTGCCACCACTACCCGCCCACCACTATTACTACTGCCACCACTACCCGCCCACCACTATTACTACTGCCACCATCACCACTATTACTACTGCCACCACTACCCGCCCACCACTATTACTACTGCCACCACTACCCGCCCACCACTATTACTGCCACCATCACCACTGTTACTACTGCCGCCACTACCCGCCCACCACTATTACTACTGCCACCATCACCACTATGACTACTGCCACAACTAACTGCCCACCACTATGACTACTGCCACCACCATTACCACTGCCACCACTACCCGCCCACCACTATTACTGCTGCCGCCACCACCGCTATTGCTACTGCCACCGCCACTGTCACCACTATTACTGCCATCACCACCACCATTACTACTGCCACCACCACTACCACTATTGCTACTGCCAACACCACCATCACCACTCTTCTGCCACCAACACCACCACTATTAGTATTGCCACTACCAGTGCTACCACTGTTACTACTGCCATCACCAGCATCACTGCCATTACCACTGCCACCGCCAGCATCACCATCATTACCACTGCCACCGCCAGCATCACCGCCATTACCACTGCCACCGCCAGCATCACCGCCATTACCACTGCCACCGCCAGCATCACCGCCATTA